GCTAGCGGCCTCTCTGTGATATTTCGGTAAGTTTTTCCACCGATTGGAATAGGGGATGTTTCCGCCCTTGATGAGGGAAGGACGCGCGTCGGTGTAAAGTGGGTGCGAGATGGGAGCGAAATTGGATCAAGTTCAGCAGAAAGTACCTCAGGTCAAAATGGAGGAATGTGATTTGAATCCATAGTTGCGCAAAATGTAATCAACGGAGAGGATTTATTTTTACCATCTATTCTTGCAGACATAATTTTTCTCAGTGACTTCTACATTTTTAGCAGGAGGATTTATTCTTCATATCCACTCGAATTATTGTGATTATGCTGCACCACCGTCGCAGTATTGTCAGAAGTTTGTCCTTGAACAATTTTTTTTCCTACCGGAGGGTACGCCAACCCCCCTTGACCGCTTCACGGTCCCCCCCCCTCCCGGTAGCGCTTCGCGCCTAAGGTGTTATACATTATGAATTACCCTTCTGCGGCGTAATTCTCAATCAAAGTATTATTTTTATTTGAAGCAATCGCACTACCCACTATTTCACACTGCTACACGTTGATTGCGTTTTTCTAGTAAATAATTACAGTTCTAGATGCAGCCCACATTTCAGGAGTAAAAAAGCAGAACATGTTACATTTTTCTTCACTTTGTCAGACTTTACTTGTCCTTTAATTTCGCCATAGCACGTAGGAAATCATAAACGTATATATTTAAACTTATGATGTTACAGATTCCCTGTCCCATCCCATTTTTTGGTAGACCAATTGTAATTTTTTTTGTTCCATATTCCGAGCGATTCATCAGGATTGTTGTTTGAAAGTTCGTATTAGTACTTGGAAAGTGTTTTCTCAAAGGGGGAAAAATAAAAAAAAAACCACAAACAAAGGTGAACTTATTTAAGTAGGCTAAAGGCAACTCTACATATCATGCCCCTGGTAAAAATTGGCGCTAGGAGCTGCGTTTCAAAATACCGTAGGAGTTCTTATGGCCGACTAAAGAAGGCTATAGAAAATCATATAGCTGGCTGTAGAAAGCGGAACAAATCACATAGCCGGGCTATACGAGGCTATAAAAAAGTATACAGTCGGGCTATAGTTTCTATTGCCGGGCTTTACACTTTATCGCCATTGGCTATAAAAGGCTATAAGAAATTGTGTAGAAAGTCGTGTGCTTTGGAAATCATTAAGTTTTTTACGGAACTACCTTAATGTTTACAAAACACACAATATATTTTCCTATAAAACACATGTTTTTTTCATCAATTAAAATGAGAATAATCCATACAGAGTGTGCAAACATTTCAGAATCATGAGTTGAAAAACGCTGACTCCGCGAGATTAAATATTAGAGCCTAACACAAAGGGGAGCGGCGACGCACTGGCGCCTACAAACCTAACAAGGATACTTCACGCATTGCGCAATGCGTGAAGTATCACTGTTGGGTTTGTAGGCGCCAATGCGAGTTTCGCGCTCTCTGCCCGCCCGCCGCGCCGCAGCGTGCCACGGCGTATGAAGCAACTATTTCACACCAGAGGTATTGTACAGGATCATAAGAAATTGAAGGCGCTCCAACATAATAAGGATGACAGACATCCTTCAAAAGTACGGAGCTTTCCTAGCAAAAATATCAAGATACTACGGCACAAAAGAGAGCGGTAGTCCAAAAACTCACTACGTCCTAGTACCCGTATTAACGTTTAGCATTAACTTTATCGTCTGGCTAATGCTTAATCGCCATCGGCTATAAAAGGCTATAAGAAATTGTATAGCCGGCTACAGAAGCTATTGGAAATCTTACAGCCGGCTTTAAGTCTATGGTATTTTGGAACACAGATTTTACTGCCAATTTTTACCAGGGGCTCGATACCTAATTTTTTTTACGATTTTGAGAGCCACCAACATTGTAATACATTTAAATAATGCATTTTTTTTGGAAAAGTGACAATGCCACGATAAAAGCAGTGGTGATTAACCTCATCGACATATAGGCAACACTGGAATTGGTGTCAAAAAATACAATCAAAGCTTCAGTTAGTGTCTTATGCGACGGATTCTGAACGAATTTCATTGTAACGGCTGAATGCAACTATTCGGGCTCCATGGATGTCCGTGTTGCCTAGGCACGAAAGTGAAGGCGTTTTGACTTCAGTTACTAACCGCCTCACTATCAACGCTCAGTGGAGAGAGTTAATGAGAGGAGTCGGACTAAATATGGGAGCATTAAAAGCCCATATCGATGTTAATACGAAAAGTAGAGGTTTAAAAGTGGTTTCATTGATTTTCTCGTAAAGTTTCCTACAAAAGGCTTTCCTTACGAATAATAACTAGAGGATGTTATCATCAAAATTTACTGCGAGAATGTACATATAATGACGAGTGCCTTTAATTCCCCATTAATACTTCGCAGGATGAGAACATCTCTAAAGACACGAATAGTTGCTCCACAAGTCCATGCTAAGCACATCGCATACAAAAGATACTCACATTCTACGCCTGTATTAAAATATTCTAGGTGATATCTTGCAGTATAAATGAAGAATTGAAAGCTCGCTCTGCCATTTAGGATCCTCGCAGTAAATCCCGCAGCGCCAGTGCGTCACGGGTGAAGCGGGTGATGGTGAGTGCCTGGACATTCAAAACGCCTTCACTCTAACGCGTTTGCAACACAGACATCCATGGAGCCCGAATAGTTGCATCCATGAGTTTTGTATTGTGTTCGTCGCATTCGACACTAACTGAGGGTAAGGGCTTCCTTTTCCTCTTACACCGCCGTGACTGTACTCAAGAGCTGTCTGTTGTGCCGATGAAGTAAACTATTACTGATTTTTTAATGTGACATCGTCAATTTTCCGAATAATGCTTTGTTTATTTAAATATCTAAGGACGTTGCCGTCCTAAAATGTGGGCTGCGGCCCATTCCTTCTTTGCTCCAAGAACAACAAATGCGGCAAAGACGTTTCATAGTCACCCGTGGAAAAGTTTGAGCGCGCATCTTAACATATTTTTATTTTTTCACTTAGAAGTGGGAAAAAAGTTCAGTGAGAAATGTAAATGAACCTACCGCTAATTCAAAGCCTGTTGCTGTTATGACCCAAAGCTTGTGGAAAATATGTCTAACGTTACTGGCTGCTTCAACATCATCTAATCGGAGCACCTGTGGACTAAGTTCATTTAAAAAAAAATAATAAAAAAAAAAAATAAAAAAAAAAAATAAAAAATAAAATAATCAATAATGAATAATTCAAAGGAAGCCAACTTAGAGTTCCTGCATAAAATCCTAGATAAGGCATTCATTGAAAAAAATCTAGTAAATGCTTCAATCTTTTTTTTTTTTATTTTGGTATATGTATTTTCAAACAACCCTCACAAATATATTCACTAAAATTTTGTACGGCCAAGGGACCGAGCTAAAAATACGTGATGCTGAAGATCGGATTTTTTATCTCTCTCCCCCTTGCAACGTCTGAAACACAAATCTGCACCAGGGCCGGATTTACCTACTTGCCGCCCATGGGCCGCCTGTATTTTGCCGCCCCTTTCTCATTCGTTTTGAAACATCAATAAAAACCATCAAATGAACGTGCCAGCGGGGGAGGGGTGCATAAGACGCGTTTACTGGTGTTGGACACATTTTTTGCGAAAGTCCTGTCAACACTACTAGCAAAACTTCACGGAACTTTGTGCGAAAATTAAGTTTCGTAAACCTATCTCTGTGTGGACAAGGCCTTCCATTCATAAAAAATGAACGAAAAAATTTTGAAAGAACAAACATAAATGTGGATTAATAATTTTAACTTCCGCCGCCGCGCCGCGCTGACCGCACCTTGTTTGGCGCAATGCGTGAAGTATTCACGCAGTCTTGTAGGCGCTATCCGTTTTACGCTGACCGCAGTGACCGCACTCTGTTTGATGCAATGCGTGAAGTATTCGTGCAGTCTTGTAGGCGCTAATATGTGTTACATGCCGATCGCCGCGCCGAGGACTTCTCCTTTTCATCTCATAAAGTCCTCGTCATCATTTCTCTGTAAGTCGCGCCGTTCCTGGCCAAATTGCGTGTTTTAACTATTTGGTTTCTCTCTTAACTTGAATAATTAAAGGTGCTGTATCTTTCATCTCTGAAAGACGACAAAATTAGAAATTATTATACTCTCAGGAAATGAGAGATTTTCTCGCCTTCTTTCGCTTGGAATTTTTTTTAAATCTAAATCCGAAATTTTTTTATACCTACAATTGAAAAAATTGCAAAATTTGCCGCCATGGGCCGCGGCCCATATGGCCACCCCCTTAATCCGGCCCTGGCTGCACCCTCATCAGGTAATTTCGAAAATTTCAGTTTCAACCCCCTCAAATTAGCGTTTTGTGATGAATTTTGTGTTAACAATTGCTGCCTTGCGACAATTTTTCATCTTTGATTTTAAAAAATTCTGACATTACGTGACGCCGCCCTGAACCGGGATTCAGGCCCCCTCCCCCTCCGCCTAGAGCGTCACGTATATTATGAACGGTCCTCTAGTTCACCCTTCTCTTGAATGTCCCTTCAGCCATCGGCCCTGATTTTTTCCGGGCTGCTTACCTTACTGCTTACTGAAAGGTAAGCAGCCCGATTGCCAGATTGCTATTATTAAGTCCAACAGAGTCTCTCAATACAGCTGTATCTTACTTAGTTATTCATTTGTTTGTTTCAGTGTTTAAGCGCACATATGTAGAGGCAGTTTTTTCGAGGGCCGAGGGGAATAGAATGATCCATCACCCCTTCACGAGGGTGTGCTGAAAGCGGCAACATACGATCACGAATTTCGAGCTACGCACTGAGCTACGACGAGGCATAGACAGGTCATACGATAACACGTCGATTGGCGATGTGTTTTTATTATCAACGCTGAGGGGAGAAATTTTTGAAAAATCCGCCACTCGGAGGAATGTCACGGATTGGCCACCGTCACAGTCTGAACTGCGCACATCACGCATGCGCAGAGCCTCAGATCTGTGGATGACAACAAGAATCAGCTGTTTTCTTCGCAGAGACAGCACAATGGCTAACCTTCAAACCCTTGTATGTGGATAACATTGGGATTTTTACTGAAACAAAAGTTATGAAGTCAAGAAACACTTTTACTCTGTAAGCATCTTGTCATTATTTTGTGTAAAATTACACGTTCATTGTGAAATTACCTGTGTTTCCCACTTGTTCAAGTGAGCCATGGACACCAAGACTCAATTTGAAAACTTCTCTCCTCTCTGTGAGTATATTTTTAATATTACTGCTCAACTCATTGTTGTCTAAGATCTCAGAATCCGAAAACAGAAATTTTCTCACCTCAGAAAAATGCAGTCGAACCTTTTTGGAGAGCCTAGAATCACTTGTAGGCGTTCACCTTTCTTGAAAGTCTTAAACGAGGCCTAGCAACTTGAAGTATCGCCAGAATCTGTAAGATCTTTTACTTGAAACCTGTTCCAAGCATTCTGACCGAGTCATTGTCTTGTTATTCAGAACAAAAGATTGAGCTTTTGTTTCTTGAATGAAAGGAAAATACTGCTCGAAGTGCTTACTTTGAAGGAAGTTTGTAGCTCAGTTTTCAGCTTAGAAGGAACGAATACCTCATCTTTTTTTTCTGTTTCCATTCATCCCACCCATCTGCTGATTTGATTAAAAACTGTTTCTATCTAAAGATAATTTTCTAGGTGCTTGAAATTTTTTCAGACTGAAGGTCTAAATTGTTCTAGCTCCTTGATGAAAGAATAATAACATTGTAAGAACCTGAAGCCAATTATTCTAGTAAACAACCATGTTCAAGTCGCCTGAAGACTGTTCAAGGCTCAAAAAGTTACCTTCCCAGCAACTGAGAGCATTGAAATTATGGCCAGGCTGTAGAATTATTGTTAATTTTCACTTTGCTGTGAGCTTATCAGTAATGGAAGTAAATCGTCAGTTTTTCTGAGATTTTTAGCAGATTAATCGTATCTTGATTCTATTGAGTTGTGTACTTCATTTCTGATGTCACGGTGGCCCCACTGAGAGGAGTCAGAGAGTTTAAAATGAATTGAAAATTGCGGAGAGTTTTTTTTACCTTGTTTCCCCAAAATCGTTGTAGAAACGCAAATTTTCCACCAAATAAGCTCAAGGTGGGCTCATTAGAGAGCTGATGAAGTAAGCCACAACTTTGTGCAAACCCTATTCTGATATCTTCAATGGTTTGCTCAGAGCAGGTTTCTTTGAACAGCCTTTGTTTCATTGATCGTAATAATTATTTACTCTTTACAAGAAGTACTTTGAAAATTCTAAGTATGTTCCTTTGCTCATCCTTTAATTAAATGTAATTTTATCCCTATTTTGTTGTTTTTCTTTCGTGACATTTTAATTAGAGTTGCTTTTTTTCCATTCCAGGCTAGTAGACAGTGTTTGGTGCAACAAATTGAAGTGATGCGGCAAGATGATGGAAGCTCAGTATCAGGCTCTGGGTGCGGATGGGGAAGACGATCTTCCCCACGACATTGGAGTCATGATACACGTTGTGCCTGAAACAGGAAGAGGTTAGTATGTCCAACAATTAATGCCAGTGCTTATGAGCAGCGCACATTTCAGCAGAAAATTTGAGCAGAGACTTAATGTGTCGCAATTTTTTATTTACATTCTTATACTTTAGCCACAGGCATGTCGATTTTAACTTAATGTTACTTACAGCGATCTTTCCTTGAAACTTCAAATAAGTTTGAAATTTAGAATTGTAGACTGTAAGCTCTGGTGTTGCAGAGGGCCCTACTCTGTGTGCAGTAAAAGGACTAATACTGATCTGCCCTTAAATTTTACAAACTCCATTTTCCTCGGTTGTGATTTAAATGTCCTTAATGACTACGTTCTCAAGAAAAATCAAGGGCTATCTGTGTTTGATGGGAAATGGAAACCTTTACATGCTACAAGTAATTGATGTACTGTGTTCTGTTTCAGCGGCACGATGGAATCATGTAGACGATTTGGATTCATTCTTCATTCGAACGTACCTGTACCATCAGAAGCATGGATTTGCATGCATGATGCTACAGGAGACCCTCGAGCTCCTTCAGTTCATATTTGTTCTAGTCTTCTCAATATTTCTCTTTCACTGTGTAGATTATCCTGTTTTGTTCAGGTGAGTTTCCATTTTGTCCCATATTCTACCAGTTTTTTCCAAGTGAAATAAATGTACATTTGCTAGGCATCAAATTACAAAGTTTCTTTGAAGTATCATGACCAGATCTGCAAAGAAAAAAATGAAAGAAAGAAAATTCTAAAAGAAAACCAAGCTATAGTTTTTAATGATTTTTTTTCAAATGTTCTGTACACTGTTTTTTTTTTTTTTTAAAAAAAACTGCACAAAATTGATGGGAACCATTTTGATTACTAAGTTCTCCTAAAGAAAAATGAAACATAATCACAGGTTTTTAAACAATGCAATTGAAATGCGCATTTTTTGCATTTACTTATGGATGTGTGAGCCATTTGTTCCATTTTAAATCCCAACTTTTGGGATCAATGTCTCATATACAACGTGATATAAGACTATCAAATTTTATGTTCTTTAAAACCAGTATTGAAGGTTTTCATAACACCAATAACTTGATTTTTATAAAAATGTGTATTAGGTACTGTTTCGCTGTGTGGCGCTGATATTCTTTTCACTCATTTTCATCATAATTCTATTTTATTTTTAAAAAAAGAATACAGTTAAGTACAGTAAAAACTTTAAATCATAAAAATATCCTCTTTGATGTGTTGTGCCATACAAAAAAATAGATTCACTAAATGTTAAAAATAGTTTTTTGCGGTGAACGTTATCCTGTTGAATTTCATGCACAATTTTATGAAACAAGTCTTATGCAGTCTTACGTTGTATGTAGAAATTTAAGCAATGAAGTCAACTGTTTTTTGCAGAGATAAAATAAAACCATCTAAAAATGGAACGGAAAAGATCTCATTAGGTGATGCAATTTTACCAACAGACCAATGTGTGGCCAGTTTTGGGTTTCTCACATGGTCATATTTCCTCATCACAATCCTGTTTTGGATTCTGCGTGTCATAAAAGTCCTCTATCATATGTTCCAATATTGGGATATCAAAGCATTCTATAATTCAGCTCTAAAAATTGAAGATGTAAGTATTTTTTTTCTCTCTCCATTTATGTTTGAATGTTGCAGTGCCTTTTGAGCTGCAAAAATTGAAAATTTCCATTTATATTGGTGAAACAATCATCCAACCAAAAAAAGGGAAAATTATGATGCATAGCACCATAATTTACTAATATTTGTTTTGGTCTGTGTCCTGTCTGTTTGATTTTCTGTCTGATTTGTGACTGTCACATTAGATTGGCGGATTCGAGTAAAGTATGCTTTTCTATATTTGTTACTGGGTAAAGGGATCTTAGTCCACCCAAACTCAAAATTTAGTCATTGATTCAAGAGAATAACAGAGAGTTTTGAGTATAAAATGCAACCAAAAATACAGACACAAATCGATTCTATGGAGATTTGAATTCTGCCGTAAAAGATAAAAGGAGCGAAAGCTTTCATCAATCAGAAATGTGTCAGATTCTGTAGGATATGCTCATACATAATCCTAATTTGCTAGGTGTGCAGAACAGGTGGATAGAGGGATCCGGGGTTACATTGGGAGAAGATTGAATATTTAGAAAACCTAATCCATCGCACTGATGTACTTTTTATTTCTTTGGAAAGTTTATTGCTCTAAAAAATTTGTCAATTTTTAATCAGTGCGTACTTTTCCTTTATTATGAAGTTTAAACAAACTGAATAAAAGGTCAAATTTAATAAGAATGGCATTTTTTACCTCTTCTTAAAATACCTTAAAAGTAGGAGACAATTAAAGAGTTGATTCAAAGCTCAGATTAAAGTCACATTTTTTGTTCTTGAAATGCATGAATGAACATACACAAAGTATGGGAAGTGGTTTTAAGAAAGAGACAACTAAAAGCAGATACTCTAAGAATTTCAGACTTCTGAGGAATGCAAAAATCAAGATGTAGTCATTCAAGAAGCATACAACTAGAGTTATCACCTAAGAGCCTCTTCCAGTGTCACCCTCTGTGATGAAAAAGTGCATTTTTTTGGTCTGTTAGATTACCTTTGTGTGTTGATTTCAGAATAATTTGGACAATCTGACTTGGCATGAAGTCCAACAAAAAATCCGTGAAGTGCAGCTCAAACAACAAATGTGTATCCACAAAAAAGATCTCTCTGAACTGGACATCTACCATCGCATCCTCCGTTTTAAGAACTATCTGGTCGCAATGGTTAACAAGTCTCTGTTGCCAGTTCGCTTCAACCTTCCTATAATCGGTGAAGTTGTATTTCTCTCACATGGTTTAAAGTACAACATAGAACTCCTTCTTTTTTGGGGACCTTGGGCTCCATTCCAGAACAATTGGCACTTGAAAGAAGACTATAAAAAAGTCAATAAACGCCATGAGCTTGCGACTAAACTTTCAAAACACATTTTTTGGGTTGCCATCATTAACTTTCTGCTCTCCCCCATTGTGTTACTCTGGCAGGTCCTTTATTCATTTTTCAACTACGCTCAAATCATCCGGCGTGAACCAGGAACCCTTGGCTCACGCTGTTGGTCACTCTATGGTAAGTTCTACTTACGCCATTTCAACGAATTGGATCATGAGCTGAATGCAAGGCTCAACCGTGCTTATCGCCCTGCTTCAAAATACATGAGCATTTTCACCTCACCTCTCATGACCGTTATTGCCAAAAATGTTGTTTTCATATCTGGGTCTATTTTAGCTGTACTGCTTGTTCTTACAGTTTATGACGAAGATGTTATAGCAGTTGAACATGTTTTAACTATAATGACAATTCTAGGGTCAGTTGTAGCAGGGTTCCGATCATTCATACCAGATGAAAATTTAGTTTGGTGCCCAGAAAACTTAATGACTGCCATTCTGGCGCAAGCCCACTACTTGCCAGAACATTGGAGGGGTCAAGCTCATACGACCCGAGTTCGTGATGAATTCGCGCAGCTTTTTCAGTACAAAGCAGTTTTTCTGCTCATGGAGTTACTGTCGCCTGTTGTGACTCCCTTCATTCTTTGCTTCTATTTCCGAAACAGAGCTCTTGATATTGTCGACTTTTTCCGTAATTTCACTGTGGAGGTGGTTGGTGTTGGAGATGTGTGCTCTTTTGCGCAAATGAACGTTCAGAAACATGGAAACCCAACATGGCAGGTGGCACAAACTGGACAGACAGCGTCTGTCATTGTCAATGACCAGTATAACCAAGCCGAAGATGGGAAGACGGAATTGTCCCTTGTACATTTTACCGTCACAAATCCCAACTGGCAATTGCCTGCTGAGGCTCAACATTTTGTCACAACAGTCAAATCTCAAGTTCGACGTGATGCCAACCTTCTAAACAACGAAATGATTCAAGCAGCGCAAATCCCAGAATATTACGGAGTAGATAACTCCTTGTCATCCTTGGGGATTGGGCCTAGTGCCATGTTACTGCGACCAAGTGTAGATTCATTACTTTGCAGAAGTATGTCGCAGCAGTGCAAAGGTGCCTCTAGGGCAGAAGGCCCACAACAGTCAATAATAATGAACTATCAGGAAGGACAAGAGAGATCTGATGACCAACCAACTGATTTAGCCATGAGCCTAAGTACATTATATCTTCATGAACTACACCACAAGCAGAAGAATCAGTCCAATACCAGGCGTAGGATGCAGCATCAAGGTGCATCAGCATCCTCTGATCTCATGACAAATCCGCGCCTACAAGTTCAAGAAAGCACGCCACTCCTTCACAATTCTCCGAGAAAGTCATAATTTTAATTCTTACCTTTTAACTGTAATTTTCATCAAAATGTACAAAGTTGTGTACATACTCTTTCTCTTCATTTTTGTGTAACATAATTCCTTTCAAATAAAAAATAATGATTTGTAATTTTTTTAATGATGTTTTTGTTTTTTTCTTACCCACAGATTTGGGCAAAAATTGCGTAAATTTGACTCCATTCTTGGTTCTTTCTAATTACCTTTTTGCTTCTATCGCTTTCAAAAATTAAGCTAGCAGATAGTCACAGTCCAACATTTTATTAAAAAAATGATCCTAGGTATATTTTATATCATGTAGTTTTCCCAAATGATCGATTTCGTACATGCACGTAACTTGAATCAAAATCTTCCTCTCTGTTGGAAGAATATTCCATGAGTGACACTTTTGAGTAATGAAGGCTTTTTGTTTCCCTAAAAAAAATTAAGTTGTAGAAAAAAAATTTGGATTACTACCATTAAGATATGGTGTTTTCAAGTTAAGTTATCTATATTCATTGTATGCTCCCTTTCATGATGAAAATCGCAAGGAAAAGAGAGCCTCCTTTGCTCCCTTGAACATGCTCTTAAAAGAAACTAGATCTTGAACAAGACAAATAAAAACTAAGAAAAATACATGGTAATTCACTAATGTTTATTTACACATATTTACAATTTGTGCACAAAAAAACGATCATTCTTATTTTGAGGATCAAACTCTACAAAATAATGACTTACTTCCTGTCATCTAATGCTTTCATAACTGAATGCAAACAGGATGTAGGATTCATACAGAGGATCCCAAATTGAACGGCAGAAACTTTGGGGATTGATTCTTCAAATTGAAACTACTGTACAGAAGACTATGTTTTTTCTAAAACAATTTTTGTTAGAGCCAATGCAAAGGAGGATACAGCCCCTCTAAGTTTCTACAAGAAATGGATTTTTTTCACATTTTAGCTACAGTTGTCATGAAGTCTTACATGAAATTGTAGACAAAGGGACATATTTATGCACTTTTGGTGATAGAGAAAGTAAGATATCTCCGTTATAATGACTCAACTGAAAAAATATTGTAGAACGATATAGTCTTGTTTCAGTCCAAAAGATCGATCCCCAATATTCCCGCCATAGAGTTCGGGATACCCTGTATTTACACTTGACTAGTTTTTATATGCACAGGATGAAGAAGGCTACCATTCATACATGGACAACAAAACAAGCTGACCAATTAAGCAATTTTGTTGAAGCCTGTTCCGACACAAGTCACTAGAACTTTGTTTGATCCTTGTTTCAAATCGAAATCATCTTCATCATCTTGAACGAATGGCTCCAATTTGAATGTTACTCCGAAAAATTCCTTCAGATGCCTCAGGAATTGTATCCTATAACAAAAAACGCATTTTGTCAGATGATCCATAAAAGGACTCAAAAATGAACTTCCACAACCTACCGTACTCTTTGTAGAAAGGGAATTGCCATTTATCAATCTATAAGATCGTAATGAATCTGATACTGATATACATATTATAAATCTACATGATGAATAATCTTTCGCATAATGTAATACTGAAATCGTTCTCTGTATCTAACAGATTTTTAGGACAGGGCCAGATGATACTTGTTCAGACTCTAGAAGAGCCAGATTGGCTGGCCCCCTAAAATTTGAGCCGAAGAGCTACGGAAGAGACAACATGCTCCAAAAAATTAGACTTACGTGTAAGGTGAGAGAGGGCCAAATAGGCATTGAGAAACATCTTTTTGATGGAGAGCCATCCACAAACAAACTAGTGATTGGTAAGAGGAGTCCACACAGCCACCACGAGATATCTCTTCACACAGTCTAAAAGCGAGTTCCTTACCCAGGTCTTCTGGGACAGAGCGTGGCTCAGGAGGAATATTACACACTTGGTCAGCAGTGTAAAATACCTCAGCTGTAGACTCCGCAACTAGACTGGCTCCGAATCCTGTAAAGTAAATCGATAACAGTTAGCTTTAATAATTGGAGGGCATCACACATTGAGGAGTTGAGTGATGTTTTTATGAGAAATGATTTTTACTTGGTGAAAAATTATGCATTACTCATCTTTCAATTTAACATATTAATTTCATTGCATCAAGCTATGCTGAACATTTTCCTACTCTCTGTAAAAAGTAACCTCCGGGTAAAATTGTGAAACATCGCCAGAGACTCATTCCCTAGACACATTACCTAAATACTTGATATCCTTACGTACATTCTATCTCTTGAATTTCAGAGCGTCATATCTTCATAACTCATCGAGCGTTAGGAAGTTTATTTTTTATTTTCACTGGTTTTCATGATCTACATGATATCACTGGATTGTTGTTCCTTACGACAAGATCTGTGAAAAATTGTTCAAGATTCCTTACCTGGAGTAAACAGAGATTATTAAGGAGACTAATTTAGTTTTACAAGCTTTACTTCAATGACATTAGTTTGATATTCATCCTGAACTAATTTTCTGATGTCAATTTCAAGTTCAACCTCAACTTGTCTTGTGAGTTGTATACAAGTTACAAAGAAATTTGAAATACTCGGTCAAATTTAGAATGAGCATACCTGGGGATTTTCCAGCATTCTGGCCTTTCAAATGATCAACTGTTATAAATACATCGGGAATAAAATTTAGAAGGACACTTTTGATACCATCAATGACACGATTCGACAAAACAGGTGAAGTCCGGAGGCTGAAAGCAGTGCCTCTTATCCTCTTTATTTTTCCAAAATCTTTTATCTGTGAGAAGGAAAAAATATAAAAAATGAAATACAAACAGACAATTGAAAGAGAGCAGCGGTATCCTAGCGGTACAAATGGAGACCAACTGTTTCCAATTAATGATTCTGCAACTGTTCTATTGAATGTATTGTATTTTAGAAGAAATGCGAATGTGCACACAGTTAACGGGTTTCTGGGCTATAAGAAAATTACTGCTATTGTTATGGAGTGTTGTGTATGTTGTCCATTCACTGATTGAAGGGGCTTCTCTTATTGATATTTATTGCAATGAAATTGAAAAAAAAAGAGAAACTTTTTTGCATCACAAGTTGCCTTCTTTTTTCCACATAAAATGCATTTTACTGATCTTTTAAGATCAAATGCAAAAAAAAAAAAATGCAATTTTATTTTTCAATTTAGTGTTGCTTCCTTCTTCATCCCCAGGTCCTGTCCTGCAACTTAAATTAAGCGAAAAAAGAGTGTAATAGGAGTTTGGACCACCCTAAATGTATTAAAGGATGAAATGACAAACCTGTATGGGCTTCAGTTGCTTCAGGTTAGGACAAACAAAATGAATTTCACCCCCGCCTTCTGGTTCCATTCCTCTTTTACGAATTTTAAGGTCAATTCCTGGATCAATGATTAAAAATCGTCTGAGTAAAGGAAGAGCGCCTGTTTTGAGAGAGTCAACTGATGGATCAATCTGAAAGGCAAACAAAAAAATAATGGTTTGGTGAGGCAATCGATGGCAAAAAAAGAATCGTTGAGTTGAGATTGAAGGAGGGTGACATTAACAGCCTACAGTTGGCCTCGCCCTGGATTTTTGAAACTCGGACATGTTCCGTCCATTAGGGGTCTATACTTGATGGGAATGATTTTGTTTTAGCCCATCATAAAACTTTTCAGTGAGATTTATTACCTTGAAATTTGGATCTGTAAGCTGAAAATGACCACTTTTTTTGAAGTTCTGTGTTGTTTTCTGACCAGAGAGGAAGAGGAATTCATAGTAATTTTTACACTGATTGACCTCTCTTATAGGTGCCATAAAAAATGAACACAAGCTATAGCCTGTTCTATATTTAGGTGCTACAGAATTTCAGACTTTACCTGGCTAGTCGATTTCTTATAATAGATCTAATACAGTGAAAGCTCGCTAAGTCAAATTATGTAGGGACCAAAAACAAATTTGACTTAAGCGGCAATTCGTCTGAACCATCGTTCGATTTAGCGAGCTTTTACAGTGTCTTATTATTGGCAAAGGCTGAGAAAGTAAAAAAGTATCACTTTGCCTGTGCAGCCCTGATCCAATGAGTTATCTTTGTTACCAGTCCAAAAGTTCCTTAGTCTGTTAGACAAAACTCTTGGAATAAAAAAACATGCAGTTCGGAGAAATTTTCTTTTAGAACTCTCAGAGCTCACCTCAGATGTTAATGAGACTGAAAATTGGCAAAAAAGAAATGAGAAACATTTAACTGAAGAAAATTACCTTATTGTTAGTGACTCCACGAAGAGTAATTTCAAGGGCTTTTTTACAAAATGGTGCAAAGGCCAAGACCGCTTCAAAGTAGTACCCAATTGCTCGTTGTTTACAGCATTCATGGTCAAATTTACCACCAGTCAACATTCCAGGTTGAAAGTACAAGGTGGTACCAGTTTCATTCACTTCAAGGACAGTGCCGTTCGTTAATTTATCAATCAATCGTAAGAGATTGATTTCAAACTCTAAAAGAAATAGCAGAAAACATTATATTCTATTCAGAAAAAAGTTTCAGTCTAATTCGGGAGGCTACAGAAAGATATGATATTATGTGTATTTCTTTCTAACAGCCACAAAAAATTTTGATCTGCTGACTCAGAAGAATTGATCAAAATTTAAACGTCAGATTATAACAAAACAAGGTTGTTTAAATGTTTTCAAGCATGTCACCACTTGCCCCAAAAAGCCCTAGCAGCATAAAATGATGGAGATTGCTGTCCCGGTCCTTGAATGGCTGAAAAATTTAACATTACAGATAGATTGAAAAAATATGTGCGTAGAACTTGATCATTAGTGTGGTTAAGTCAGGTTCACTGAGTTATTCGATCTTGTTTCCGACATTCAAAAATTTTTGTAGTTTGCCAAAAGATAAATAAATTGAGAAAATACCAGCATAATTTACCTGCAAGTCCTGGTTCGTCGCTTTTGGATCTGATGTCGGTAATACGAATTGGCTTCGCACTTAGAACAGACAATATTAAACGCTGTCGAAAGAAATTACTTCCTTTGAACTCCAATAGATTACTTTTCACATTCTTCATTGTATAGATTTAAATAAGATCATCGACAGGAGTTAGAAAGATTAATTTTGATGACTTTTCTAGGAAACAAGCATGCCGACGAGAGTTGATACACATGGCAAACATAACCTAAAAATGTTCGAAACAAAAACACCTGTGTTTTTGTTGACTTTTGATTTAGACCAATGACAACCCACGTTTAAGTCACGTGATACAAGTCCTCAAAACTGTCACAGCGGGTGCCGATGAGTTTTGTTTTGTCATTTTTCTCAAATACTTTTGATAATTTTGTGTATTTTTCCTCTTCATAAGTTGTTTCATTTATACGATTGCAATTGATACATTCTGTAAATATATTTGTTATTTTTTGTTTTCGACCTCTCCACTTCTATTCACAGTCAAAATTCGATCATGGCAAGCTCGAGCAATGAAGGTGAAACAAGCTCCAAGTCTGTTGATAAAGATATTCATAAAAGCAATGGACTCCTGCTTTATTCCAACAAACACTCGTTCTATTCCCAGAAAGTGAGCCACTTATCTCTCTATTTTATTACCTCTTAATTTAATTTTCTTTTGGTTGACCACATGGCTATGTTAGCGTCGATTTTGATCAGTCTTTCCCTCCTCTCAACGCAGCCTCTTGGTCTTAGTTTTATTGTCATATTATTTATATGTTTACAGTAAAACTTGTGTAAAAAAATTGACTCTATCTAGATAAATTTTCATGGCCTCTAGAAGATTATTTCTTAGCTACTTTACAGAAGCTTCTTGCAATCCCTTAATGAACAGAGGCTGCTTTGTTAATTTGTGAGGAATGACCGAGCCAGAGTTTGTGCCGTAATTTTTGTCAGGCTACCAGAGTGAGACAAGAAATCATCCTGATTCTAGTATTTAGTTATATTGTCATTGAGGAGTCTACTGATTTCTTATTTCCAGCGAAAGGTCAGCTTAATATTTTGGTTAGAACTCATTTATTGCGAATAAGGGCGTACGTAAGGGTAGCCAATTCCATGAACATAAGAATTCAAAGCTCACATAGAAGATTTTAATTTCTTGTGTATTGCTGAAGTAACCAGTTATTATTATGATAAGAAAATATCACAAGTTTGCTTCATGTTAACAAATTATATTTGCCAAATATGTCCTAGCAATGGCAAATGCTAAAAAGCTTCGACACTAGGAAATGAAATCTTTTATGTAAGCTTTGACTTTTAATATCAACAGCACTTGCTATTCTTATATTCTTATTGACAAAAGAAGGTGCTACTACCGCTACTTTGAATTTCAACAATCACAAAATACTGTATTATGACATTATTAGCGGTCAGTTTTCTGGTAAATTAACCTTAGGATATTTTTCTTTGGAACTTTTCTCATGTAGTTTCTAAAGACAATATAGCATGTAATAGAAACTCATTTCACCATTTTTACAGTCAGTTTCCTTCACTAAAGCATTTTCCTCTGTTAGGTAATCATGGCCTTGTATGAAAAGAAAGTGCAGTTCAAAACAAAATCAGTTGATCTTCTACAAGGTGAACAATTCCACCCGTGGTTTATTGAAATGAATCCTCTGTGCCAAGTACCTATTTTGAAAGATGAAGGGAAAATCATCCCTGATTCTTCAAGGATTATAGACTATTTGGAAGATAATCTCAGCAACGGTATGTACAACAAATGAACCTGATTTAAGTAAGTAAGGGAGTCAAGTAATGTAGTAATCCAAATGTGGAAACTCCTCAGTATGACCATCAAATCTATACGGCAACTCTTAAAAGTAACGCCGAGTAAAAACTTTGTTGCAAAGTCAGTTTCGACAATAATGCTGTTACGAAGGTTTTCACAACCCGTTTTTGCCTGGAGGGGAGAGTTAATTTTGAATTTTCAAGAATGTGTTGATACTTAAATGCTTTTGGATTTCTGAAGAACTAGAAAATTATTCCATGAGAAGTTCAACAAGTATTACTCATTTCCTATAGAGATATGGTTTTTGACTCTTTTTCATGACTCTCGGAATATATGACCCAGATGTTGGTTGAGGAGTACTGCAAGTGGGGCCTCGAGGCTAGTGTCCATAAGACGAAAAAGATGTCAGTCGGGGGTGCTCAGCAAAGCATAGTTCTAGAGAATGGTCAACATATAGAAAATTGCGAACAATACAAGTACCTGGGGGTGAAGCTAATCTCAGATGGGGAGTTGGATCTGGTCATTCGGGACCATAATCTTTAAGGAAGGAAAGCCATCGCCATGCTTAATGGGATCCTTTGGGACCAAATGATTTCCAAGGACAACAAAATGAGGATTTGTAACTTGGTTGTCAAGCCTATAATCACCTATGGCAGTGAGTGTGGCATTTGAAGAAGCGGACCCAAGAAATGCTCAAGGCGACAGAGATGGATTTTTGGCGAAGATCGGCTGGAATCTCAAGAAGACAATGTATTAGGAATGAACGAGTCCAAGAGATAATGGGTGTTGAGGGAACAATTGTGCACAATATCATGACCAAGTAATTGGTATGGTATGGGCATGTGCAGAGAATGGCTGATACCAGGTTGCCAAAGAAGGTGTTGGAGTGGGTCCCCCCAGGTATGCAACGTAGAGGGCGTCCGTGAAGAGATGTCAGCTTCCGGAGGATCTCTACCATGACAGATTTCTGTGACGGGTAGGCGTCACAGAGCGCCTTAGCGCGCTGTAAAAGCGGCTTATTCATATATACTCTTTTTCATTGATAATTGTGGTGTAAAATTTATGCAATTAGTTTTTAACAGCTGGAAAAGTAAAAATAAAAAAAAAAAATTATCCATACAAATAATGTGTTTCGGTCATACCTTCACCACAGAGTTGATGATATGCACGATACTATTTAAAATATTTATTTTTCCTCAGGTCAACCTCGATTGGTGCCCAATGATCAAGGATCAGAAGTGAAGGTAAAAGTTATCCAGTATCGAGATCTTTTGGATGAAGTGCCCATTGGTTTGTTGACAAAGGGCTCATTCTTCCACCCAGAATTTCTGAAAAACACGATGCCTCCCTTCGTTGGAGCTTATAGAACCAAATTCCATGGTAAAAAATCCATCTATTCACCAGTTTTTTTGTTTTTGATTTTTCATCTCAATTTGAAAGTTTTCTTGTCTTTATCTGAAATTCATCTTCAAATGGTGCTGCTATAAGGCAGAATGAAAGAATTATGACGAGGATATTGTAATTCATGAAGGGTTATGCAGGTGCAACTAACACTCTTCCTTGAGGGTCATTACTATCATAGCCCATTGTTCTGATGTAGGTGGTTTGGAACATAGCATAGAGTTTGCATTTGAGACTGTCTCCTTCTCAGATATGAAGGCCGGTAATATTTAGGTTGTTTTTTTTCAAGAGTCCTTGAAACAAACTTTAAGGAGCATTTGCAACAGGACTTATAGTGTAAATAATGCAATGAGTAGTTAAAGGAATAATTCTGTCAGCTTCATTCTTTCAATTTGGCAACATCATTTTTTTTGCCTAAGAGGAGTGAGATCTCCGCGGCTGAGACCACGCTGGCTTACAAGTGGCTCTATCTGTAAATACTCTTTCTTTAACCCCCTCAGATTGTTCAGAGGTTAATCAGAGATTAGCTGTTGTCATAGAATAATAAGGCTACGCCTATAGAAAGGACACTCTCGCAGATTTCATGACGAAGAAGAAGAACAGGGACTGGAGCTCTTGAGCTGGAGCTGGCGGGTATTGTTTACATTCAGAATGAAAATGGTGGCAATAGCCAACTGTAACACTCTAACTGTAGCTGATCACATCTGATTTTATCAGTCATCTGGCCAGCATGAGCACGATGAGGCTGTGGAAATCGTTTCCGTTACATTAATTTTGGTACTCAAACTCTTTTACTCTGTGACGGTGACTTTTACACTTACAAAACATTAGACTCTTCGTTGGCACCACTGACTACATTTCGCAACCCTGCAATTAGCTGGGCCCTACTATTACATTTGACAACCTTGCAAAGAGCTGGCGGGTTCAGAAAAGTATAGGGCAACGGGACCTAACCAAACCTGGACACAGCAGGCGAGAGTCACAACGGCCACTTACGCGAGTGTCCCTTCTATAGGCGTTAGCTTTATTATTCTATGCTGTTGTATGAGGGACTTTAAAATTAGCATATTGTTAGCTTACAAGAGACAAAGAGAGTAAATGAGCCACATTTTGCTTTTGCACATAGGAACTACAATTTCTGGCTCATTTTAAAAACAGCATACGTGCCATCAATTTCTAATGCATCATTTCTCTATGGTGTTTTGATGTGTGAGCCAGAAATTGTAGTTCTTTATTGCAAAAGGCAGTCCTAACCGAAGAGGTTTAACTGCAATCAGCCTAACTGTACTCTTTGTTGCCTAATCTCTTCTTGAATCTTATTCATTCTCTTTGGCAAAATACTCATACCCTTTTGAAAGAGAGATGTGGATGTCTTAAAAAAGTTTCGTAAGTGAACTATCTCGCAACTCGACTTGAATTTTTCTCTTTGGAGATTAATTTTGATGACCAATGTTTTTCTCCTGATTTTAGAATCATTTTTGAAAAAAGCAGAGGCACTTCGAGGACTGGCAACTTCAGACTCAAATAGCAATATCAAAGAAATTTTGCTAGGAAAAGCTGAAAAGCATGAGGAAGAGCTAGCAAAATGTATGGACAAGGAACTGTATAAGAGCACTTTAGATGATGTTGACTTAGTTCTAGATGAAATTGAAAAAGAACTATTTAGTCATGATGGTAAGTTTAGTTTTATGTAGTGAAAGGTTTTCATCAGAAAAGAGAATACTTATAATCATCCGGATTCTTACTTTTCATTCGTTTTCCAGCGTTTAATTCATTTGGCCAACAACTGATATTAATAGACTTCGAGTTATTAGCCAAAAATCAGGAGAAAACACACAATTTTGGGCTGTACTTTTTTTATTCACAAGTTAGGGATGAGTTCCAACTTGTTTTGTGATCAAATTCGAGTTCTCATTTAGAAATTTTCCTGGGTGAGAAAGCCGATGAGAAAGAAAGTTCAGCTCTCTAAAGGCGGCGTCCTTTAAAACAAATTTGATGATACTTCTTGCTTTTCAAGTTCCTTGAGAAGAAACTACTCTTCCTAGCTCTACTGATACCTATAGAAAAATTGAGCAAGTTGTCTCCAGCTTTTAAAACTTCTGAAGAATCTGCTCATGTCCATTGAATCAAATAACAAACAGAAGTGCTTCGAAGCCGAACCTATGAAAATTGTTAGTTTTTTTTTTTTATCTAGTATGTACAATTAAAACAATAAACATTGTTATGGTCCCTGTCAGAAGGTCTACGGCTATTTATAATAATAAGTTAGCTCTAAAAATTCATCTATTATATTGCAGGCTTTGGTAATTAATAGATTTTTGGCGTTGATGAGAAAGGTCCTATTGTCCTCAATATATTCAACTGGTTTGGCAGTTTATTACAGAGACCAGCTGCTAACAGAGGGAACTAAAAAAATTGGTAGATTTCATAGAGGGCAGTTGTACATGGCTACCACCTCTGGTTGCACACGAGTAGGCATTTTTGAAAGTGACAAAAATGTTCTCATTTTCCCGAACTAATTTTAAAGGTTCCAAACAACAGTTAAAAACCGATGCTTCCTGAAATATTCTCTGCAGGAGGCAGTTTTTAAACTAAAAATTGGTCGTAAGACATGCTTCTGCCTTTTCATCACCTCTTGTATTGTTAAAGCACCACCTCATGGGAGTATATTATACTTCGAATGAAAGTAGACTTGTCTGTAATAGAATAAATTCATCGCTCGTCTGGAAATCACCTTCCTTGCTCTACTCATCTAGTAACTCATAGAGGCCAGTTTGTTAATTACTTTTTGAGTTTGAGCATCCCATTTCAATCTATCATCGATGTAAATTCCCAGAAACTTGACTAGTTCTAATGTTTTTATCCCTGCGATAGTTGCTAGTTACTTAATAAATTTTTATCTCTTAACTAACTGAAATATATTCTTTTCTTTTTTATATCACAGAAATGGATGATTGGTGGCTTTGCTCTGACAGGTTCACCGTAGCAGATATATCATTGAGCTTATTACTGCATCGGCTTAATAGTATAGGCTTATCTCATCGATTTTGGGGAAATGGAAAACGCCCTCTTTTAGAAAACTACTTCAACCGGGTCACACAGAGAGAGTCTTTCATCAAAACAATTCCATCTTTACAATCGCCCCCCAGTTTGGATTTAAGTTCTCAACTTCTGGTAGGTTCAGTTGTTTTCCTTGTAGTTGTAACAATTTTCTTCTATTTCAAGCGGAAATCTAAATGAAAGTCCTTCATTGGTTGAGGATTGGTTTATGAAAGGGTCTTAGTCTAAACGCTAACACAAGTTGATATTTATTATATTGTTCAAGAGAATATTTTTTTAAGCAACATACTTTTGAAGTTTTTTATTTTTTTAAATTTTGGAAGCCTTGATGGTTTTAAGTTAATGAACTGCTTGTTCATTGCTATTAATGTGCATTTTTAAGTTTTTTTTGTTGTATTTGTGATAATAGTTGATTAGAGTTATCTATCCGAAAAATTTAAGCAGTTGATGAAAAATTGATTGAATTTTATTCACAGCAAGTACAACGATTGAATTTAACAGCTTCTTTGAAAAAAGGGTGTATACACTGTAGATATTTCGCAGTACTTAAGCTCTTTTTCACAAAGGCAGTTAAATGTTGCAATATTAGTAAATTTTGTTTTTACAATCAAAAGTTTGTGAAAATTCTGTTTGTTTTTAGTAGGCCATTAAAGTTGTTCATTGGAAAGTTGATGGTAATGTTCTCTTTATTTCCTCTGTGTACTTGGTGCTAACTTTTAGAATGAATAGGAACGTAAAGATTCCAATCCACGTTTTTGAACATCAAAATTTGAATTATCTTCATAAAATTACAATTTGGAGATTATTCATCTCTACACGTTTTTTATATTAATCTATGTTGCTCTTATAAATTCGCACTCTGCAATATCCTAACACCATATGTGCTTTACCCTCTGAAGGCAATTGAGTAATTGAAGCGCGGGGTCCAGAAAGAGCATTTCTTGGTTGTGGTGTCTCAGGATCTCTGTTAACGTTTCATCCACTATAATTAAAGCAAACGCATGGAATTTGTCAAAACTTTTACTGAATTTTCTTCCTAATTTTACAATGCTGAAAACCAAAAATTTCAGAAAATTCACCTGATAATTTGCTCTTTAAAATATTGATTAGCAGCAGGATTCTAAAATACTGCAGTCAAGAAATGCTTTTCCAGCACCCAGCTCTTCAATTTACATCATAAAACGTCATCACTATTATCCTACCATCCCTCATTGCCTTCTTCCGGGAAGTATCCAATTCAAAACTTGTTTGGACAACCTCTCAAATTTTCATTTCTTTTATAATTCGGAACCGAAGAAAACAGAAAAGGACAAGAACAATAAGGAAACAGAGTAACAAATAAAAAATTTATTTTTGAAAAAAAATGAAGAAACACATAAGTTAACAAGTATTTTTTCAACAACAAAATTGCAGGAACGCGTGTCTCGTCCGAGATGTTTCAAAATCTTTGCTTCTATTTTATTTTATCAAAGGAGAGCACACTGATGCTGACACTGCTTAAAATCTGCATACATTATTATTCACACAGAGAGGAAAAATCAGGGAGGTTCTTGAGAAATGATGTTGAGTATTTTTCAATTTTAAAAATAAAATGTGTCAGAAATTCTGCAGTGTTGCAAACTTAGATACACGTTCCTGCAGTCTCACTGTTGATTTGTTCCACATTTAAATAACTGATTGATCAAAAAAAGCCTACTTCCAAGAATAAATTAACTTAAGATAACGGCACCCGGTACAGAGATGAAAGTGACAATACAGCTTATTAATCAAGGATAGCATAACATTCCAAAAATTACAAATAAAAAAGTGTAAAAATGTCTTATAGAACAGCTTAAGTATTTCAGTACTTAGAAAAAGCATTGAAAACTATGGATGATTGACGAAAAATATTCTTTGCAACCCATGATCATAGACTTGATTAGTTGGGTTTTTTTTTGCTCCTCCCATGCATTTGCTCCAAGTTGGCACAATACTCTTTAACAACCAAACTAGATACATATTGATGACTTAACTTGCAAACGTCGTACATTCATATTATCCCTTTGTCAATATGTTTAATAATTTCCACTCCTATGAATTTTATTTTTTGATAGAAAAAAAGCTCTACGGTTTAAAATTCTGATAGGAAATTCATTCTGCAGAAAGAACACATTACGCAATTACATTGATTACTTTTACCCATGGGCATATTAACACTGAAAGTATTTATATGTATGTTGCTCGTAAAACTTATGCACATGGTTCCTTTTAGCATAAATACATACACTTTAAACATTAAGTGCGACAGGAGATCTGTGATGTTGCAAAGCGAACTGGTTTCTAAGTTTCATCATCGATATGGCTAGAAGACCAGGACAATCAATTGTAAAATTCTGACAACAAGTACAAATTAGTTTCTACCTTAAAATATTTTCTTGTACTGATTCTGTTTTGAAAAATACATTCTTAAAACTAAAAATAAATACATTCAAAATTACCTAGCAAATCTTTCTCAACACCAAGAAAATAAAAATGCGTCTATTATTCCCTTCACCTCTCAAAAAAAATTTCCTTACAGAAATGAACACTAGTTCTGAGCAATAACACTGATAATTACATACTACTTACACTAAATCTTTTAAAATAATTGTGTTTGGCAAGCTGAGATTTTCTTGTTAAAATGAGACTTCATTTGGCAGGTGCTTGTACTAACTCAGAGGCAATTTTTACATAATCATAAGAGAGATTGAAAACTTCTAAAAAATCAAGACTACAAAGACAAGGATGTAATTATGATGATAGACAAATGGTGACAAAAAAATAGTTACCTAAGCATACTGTAAGAGCACAGAAATTAAATTGGACGTCATTTAAACCCATATCAAAAAGTAGAAATAGTTATTGCAATAAATTTGATTTTAAATGGTTGAGAAAAGAGCTCCCACTTTAGATAAAATCAATTGTGAGTGGTGCTCTTATTTTCGAGTTTTATGGGCTAAAATCAACCAATCAAAAATCTTAGACAGATGATACACTGCACATCATCTGCCACCTGGTCAACATCATGTGCAAGCATTGGGCCTGCAATACGTACCAGCAGTAAGGGCTTGGAATTCTGGTGCAAGCATCATATAAATTAAAAGTTCTGTGCAAGTGAGCTTATGAAACCGTTTGAAACAGAATTAATTCTGTGAGCAAAATAATCAAAATAATTTAGTTTTCCTACGGCCACCTCACCAGTAAGTGATGATGACTTATGACAGGTAATAAATGATAGGTCAATTTATGACATCATTAATTCTTGTTGTCAAGGCACAGGTGTGTTTCCTTCAAGAATTAGACTCAGCATGGAGATTGTCTTCAAGGGGAAAAATTATTTCCTACTAGAGTTTGATGACTTCTCACTAAGGACACAAGTAAAAAAATAATTGACTCAGTCAACATCCTTGACTGATATTAATTAAGTATGCAGAAAAATCATTTACCTAGAACAGAACAATATTTCATATTAAATCTTCACACATTTTGGCATTAAGTAAGTTTTTCAATAATGCTTGAACCCACTTCGTACATGTATACCGATGAATACATTTATCTGGTAGCACTCAATAAAAACATCAAAGGACACACCAATAAAAAATATTAAATCATCATTATCATCATCAAATAACGTGAACTGTGCCAGGATGGGAGAAAAAAAATCGCCCAAGTCACCAGTGCCAAGTAATGGTAAGTCATTACTCATGAAAATTCGGATGAGTTCACTTTTTATGGTTTTTGGATGCTTATTGGAGAGTAAAATTCTAGGTGAATTTAAGTACTGCCATGGAATATATTTGAAAATTTTGAAGTGCTTGCTTATGCAAAGAGGTTTCTGCTTAACAAAAAACTTTCAGCACATTTTCACTGAAAAATTACTTGAATGTTTCCATTTTCATGCTGGAAATGTTTTAAATTATATCGACGCTTCTGCATCATCAACATAGTAAGTGGCTGGTACAGAGTAACATGTTCTTGAAAAATCAGAGAATTTTGATGCAGACTTAGCTTTATTTTCTCCAGCCATAATAGTGTATTTTCTATATTTCAGGCGAATTTCCATTTAAAAATTTCGCGAATAGAATTTTTAAGAAAGATTGGTAAACATTGAATGGTCTAGGATATTTGAAATTCAGGAAAGCTTGTCACCTTGGGACCACATCTCAGCAAATTCGGCCATGCTTCACATCTGAGTGGGTGGCAGAAATCTCTTTGACTTTATGTGAAAATTTTCTCATTTGAGCGCTCATTCTCTGGAAATTTGTCTTATTCTATGGAAAATTTGAGATCTTCCATATTGAATGTACTTGCAATTTTCAAGTTTTAAATATTCTCGATTGCAATTAAAAAAAAAGGTTAAAACAGAAATCAAGAAAATTTCCAAGTCACTTCATATACCATGTTTCTTAGCATAGATTTGCCTTAGGATAGCACATAAGAAGCTTTCTGGAAAACTTGTTGCTCTTAGAAAGTTTTGAAGAACATAACACGTAGCTAAATTTACACAAATTTGACAGGTGCCAGATTGCTTGCCAGCCTTCAGATAAGTACCCACCTTCTGCTAAAATGAAAAGAGCTTTTGAACTTAGCTGCCATAATTCATAGTTTTGCACATTATTTTTTTGTTTTTTAATTATCAACTTCTACTTCCATTTGATTGGGTAGACTTTTGAGTCTGTAGCCCGTAAAGAGGCATTCCTAAGAATGTAGGAATTCGTTCACCTTTCTCATTGACAATGTTATTTCTTTTCTTTCTTGGGGGTGGTACTATAGAGGCAGTATCTTTGAAATACTTGAAGTCACCCTCCCCTGGAGCATAAGGTAGCACATGAGGATAAGCAAACCACACTTTGTATGTTATGAACCATGAAAAAACTGCAATGATCCCACTGATCAATTTTTCCGATACATCATGAAAGTAGATCATTGTGCTAATGAGCATTACATTCCAAATAATAACAAGAGCGGTTATACCAATGAACAAACCGCGAATATAACTTGTAAACTTGCTGTAAGAAATTTTTACACACTCAAAGTCTTTAGCGGACAGATTGGACAATGGCCCATTGCTCTGACTTTTACTTTGACGGGTGTGCTCCTCATTCCGAATAAAGTCTTCTATGGTTTCCCAACCTTGAATAACTTTTGTTTCTTCTATAAGGATTAGCATACTGTAAATTAAAAGAAATGTGTGACCAGATATGTCGAACCCTCTCCAGAAATGTTTCCCTGAGATGCAGTCAATTTTATTTAACTTTGATATTTCTTTGGAGGGTTCTCTTCCAATACAACTGCCAACATTAGACTCAATGTAAACAAAGAATTTTGTGAGGAAAAACCAAAATCCAGTAGCAACGACTAAGCGCGCTAGGTGTTTTAAGATTCTGTCACGCTTCCCACTACAGTAGACGAAACTTGTCAGCAGGATAAATGGAAAAGCCACTATTAACGTCCAAAGCCAGCCAAGTTTGACAAAGTAGAGATTGAGAAAGTTGTCAGATCTTGAAAAAAAAGTTTTAGGGATAGGCATTTGTTTACCGATCACTGATATGAGGAATAGGGCTAAGGCATATCCTCTGAGGACGTTTGTAGGGGTGAACATAACTTTCTTGCAGCCAAATAACAAGACCATGAGAAATATTTTCTTCACTGAAGAAGGATCAGGAAGCGGTTTAGTGCCTTTTGTTTCCCATTTGGAGGATGAGAGATTACTCGGCCGGAAGTTAGAATGAATCGGAGTTCTTTTGGATGCCATCTCACATTTCGTTGATAACACTTCACAAAACACAGAGCCACTGGTGGTTTATTTCAAAGTTTGGAGGATACTAGCGAATAATGACTGGGTGAATAAATTACATTTTTATTTCTTGCAAAATAAGACTAATCTTGAGAGATTTGGTAATTGGTCACGGGGGAGACTTCGAAAGTCGAAAATTTGCATTAGTGTTGCGTGTTTTTGAGGTTATGTTTTGATTGTTTTGTTGATTGTTGCTGCGTGGAGTCGTAATTGACGCAATAACCAAGAACCCTTTCAATTGGTTGAGGGGGTATCGCGGCAAAAACGGTACAGCTTTGAATAAAAAGAAACAGGAACGATTTCTGGGATTCCATTTTTAGGTACTCTGCATCTAACATCTCGCAGATTTTTTTGGATTACTGTGCAAGTATTTTTCAAACATCTACAACTACAAACACCCATACTAAGCCGGTTAAAAATAAATATCTCATCAATCCTTGGTCGGAAATTTGACGGGGGAGGCTTTAGGACCCACCCTCCTGTCTATGAAAAATCGTTTAGCAGAGAAATACTGAAAATCGATATATTCCCAAAATCAGATTTTCCTCTTCTTTTCTTCTTCTTTTGTATACTTCCCTACATAATAATAGCAAGTACCTACCACCTCAATGGCCCCTCGCCTGGCTAAATCACATATTAATTCGAAGAAAATCAATATTGACACTTATCGAAGTGTTGAAAATTCCTGGCGCAGGTGGGTTAGCATGGTTGACAGGTGTCTATCGATCAGGAAGGGCGTTAACCGCTCATATTTAAGTATACCCGGCGGTTTTTAAGTCATGGGGGTTCTTGCTCTTACAGTTTTGTTGGGATCGAACAAGTAGTTTTTAACCGTTATGGGTCACTGGTTGAGCGGCTGTCCAACAAAAGCGCAACACGGACTCTCAGTCTTATCCATCGCGAAGCAGAGCCTAATTTATTAATATACACCTCTCGGAAGTAAGACCTCTTCCAACCGATTCTGTTGTCAGCCTTCATCGATTCCACGTTGAAGCCTCGTGAATTATTAAGGAGCTCATCACGCTTGAAAGGCCCGGCCGCGCGCCACGTGCGCCTGATGCCTAATCACTTGGGAATCGCGAAAAAATCAATTTTTATGCGATCGGTAACGACGGGTAAACGGCTCGAGGTGAGTCCGGGAGAACCCGGAGAACTGAATGAAATTGAAGCGACTGGAAGTTTCGTCTGAAGCAGAGGCAGGGAAATAGCGCGCATTGATGAAGGCGCAGAGATACAACTATTCGTGCTTGATGGATGTTCGTGTTGCGTCTGTAAACTTGAAGGCGCTTTAGCGTGAGGCGCGAACTAGCAATGCCCCGCGCTCTAGGTTGGCGTCGCCTTCATCATGTAATTTTGAGTCGTCTTGTCTTGTATTCTGCCATGCAGAGAAAGAGCGCCGTATGAACATTCGAGAGTTGTCAAACTGCCTTCATTAAAATGTTTATTTTTGAGGAAATTTATGAATATTTTTGCCTGAAATTTTCAGGCACTTTGGGTGACATCGCGAACAAAATTATCTGAAAAATTGGAAGAAAAATGGACTACATTTTGCAATTTGGAACTATAAATTCTAGCCCGGTTTAAAAACGACGTATAAGTGCCATTAGGTAGTTT